CCTCCATATTTAAATGATAATCGTGCTGGATACAGTATTCTTGGTTCATGCATTAAATATAACATGCCATTCTCTTCTGGCCTGTAAGATTTCTGTTGAGAAGTCTGATGATACCCTGATGGGTTTTCCATTGTGGATGACCTTTTTTCTCTCTCTGGCTGCCTTTAATACTATGTCCTTTTTCTTGATCTTTGCCATTTTAATTATTATGTGTCTTGGTGTTGTCCTCCTTGGGTCCCTTGTGGTGGGAGATCTGTGGACTTCCATGGTCTGAGAGACTATTTCCTACCACAGTTTGGGGAGGTCTTCAGCAATTGTTTCTTCAAATACACTTTCTATCCCTTTTTCTCTCTCTTCTTCTTCTGGTACCCCTATGATGCGGATTTTGTTCCATTTGGATTGGTCACACAGTTCTCTTAATATTCTTTCATTTCTAGAGATCCTTTTATCTCTCTCTGCCTGAGATTCTCTGTGTTCCTGTTCTCTGGTTTCTATTCCATTAATGGCATCTTGCAGCTCATCAGTCTGCTCTTAAGTCCTTCCAGAGATTGTTTTATTTCTGTATTCTCCCTCCCAACTTGATCTTTTTAGCTCTAGCATATTTCTCTGCATGTCAATCAGCATGGTTATGACCTTTATTTTGAATTCTTTTTCAGGAAGATTGGTTATATCTATCTCCCCAGGCTCCCTCTCGTGGGTTGTCTGGGTAATTCTGGACTGGATCAAATTCTTCTGCCTTTTCATGGTTATAGAGGTAGTTGTAGGCAGTTGGCCCATGTGTCAGGTGGGAGAACAAAGTGCCTTACTGCTTGGTGGTCGCCTTGCCCTTCTCTGCTGCCTGTGCCAGTTACCTGCTTATGGGGAGCAGCTTCCGGTTTATTTCCTGAGCCACAGCATGTAGGGCAGACATCGGCACAGCCCAGAGCCCTGCAGAGCATGGCAGGCACTCCAGGTGTGCTCTCCTGCAAGAACGGTGACCCTTTGTGCCCTGTCCCAGTTTCCTCTGTGCCATTCAGCCACGCACTGATGGGGCCTCTGATTCTGGCCCAGTTTGCTGTGGAGGAGGCTCTGGGTGGCTTCTGTGGGGGCAGCTGCTCTCAGGCTTCTCCCTGGCTGTGGCGGGGCTACACCGGAGGGGGAATGGAAGGGAGGCTGTTTAGCACTGTGAGGGCCTTCAGAGCTGTGCTGCCACCCCGGGGGTTAGGGCACCTGAAGTTCCCTAGGATTCCCAGCCTGCTGGACCAAGTGTGCTGGGATGATTCCATCCAGCTGTGGAGCCCCTGTCCCTTTAAGACTTTCAAAAAGCACTCACCTTTCTTTTGTCCTAGGGGTGCCAGCTGCAGGGACCCGCTCTTAGGTTTTACTGTTTCATTTCCCTAATATCCAGCACACCATGCACTGTGTGTCTGGGCTCCTAGTGTGGATGACTAGGGCTGGGTATTTAGCAGTCCTGGGCTCCCACTCCCTCCCCGCTCTGGCTCCTTTCCTCCCACCAGCGGGCTGGGGTGGGGGTCGTGCTTGGGTCCCACTGGGCTGCAGATACTATCTTAACCCCTTCATGTTCTCGCATATGTAGATGTAGCCTGACTGTTGTACTGTATTTTCTGGTCTCTGTTTTAGGAATAGTTGTATTTGTTGTATTTCCAAAAATATATATGGTTTTGGGAGATTTCCCCTGCCCTACTCATGCTGTCATCTTGGCTCGTCCTCTGCAATACTTTTTTCTGAAAGGCACTGAGGTGTTTTTAGAAGCTCCTGGAATACCCTAGAGAATTTCACAGAATCCTCTGCCTAGGGTCCCCAGTGAACTCTGTCTGCCAGGGCATCTGGTCATTGGGAGACCATGGTAACCTAAGCACAGAGAAATATGGGACCTCTTTGGGGCTCCATTGCTATCAAGACTTCCATCACAGCACCCCTAATTTCTCTGGTGGTTTTATTGACCCAGGACATACAATGTATGTGTCCATTCATTGGCTATGTTCAGGTCATCAGAACAGATGGCTCCAGGGGCTTGGAGTGCCACCTCCATCACTGGGGAGTCTTTGTGAAATTAAGCTCTTCTGAGGAAACACTTACTGCATGTCCAGTAAGCCAGGTAATGGGGCTCCAAAGATGAATACGATATAGTCCTCACTTTCAAGGGACTTAATTCAATGTTAACAGTATAGAAGTACTTTGATGGGGTATGAAATACTAGTAAGCAATAGTTAACATTACAGCTCACATCACTGTTTCTTCTCTGCTTAAATGATGTCACACTAAGATGAGGAGCAATGTTTTCCCAAGGTCATCACCCCACAATAAGAAATGTGAATGAATGCTTTGATCATTTTATAGTTCTCTGAATCTGAAGAACTTTGCAAAGGATTTGAGTAGAGTTCCTCACTCATTTTTCAGATTCATTTATCCATTGATACTAGAGTTCTTTGCAAGCTGCTTTACAAACAGATATTGAAAGACATCCATGCAAAAATAGCCATCTTAAAGAAGAGGCATTAAATCAAAACCAGCTAGATTGTTTATATGCTCCTAAAAGTGGGTATTCTCTTAAGTGACAATCATTTGTTTAAAACAAACAGGCATGTTTACAGATTTCCACTTGCCACTTCGGCTACCCTGGAGCATATTGATCTTGGTTCAGAGTGGCCTGGCACATCTTGATGTTCAACTGTGCCTTCACAAGGTCACACTAACATGAGGAGCAATGTTTTCCCAAGATGGTCACCCCACAATAAGAAATGTAAATGAATGCTTGGATTGTTTTATAGTTCTCTGAATCTGAAGAACTTTGCAAAGAAACTATTTATAGCTCTTATATACAGTATGTCCAGAATTCTGACAAAACATTAGGTAGGATGTGAAAAGTCAATAAAAATGGAACTCTTTTGTGCATTGAGAAGTAAAGGCACAAATTAGGAACCGAGATTTTATAGTGCAGAGAAAGAGATTCTTCATATCAGGCAAGAAAAGCTGTAGCATTAAATGACTTATGACACAGACATTTTATTTTCCATTAAAATTGTGTGTTGTCATAAAACCACTTTAAATCTGTTCATAACTTTGTTCAGTATTAAAATTGAACTAGCTGTCCATGGTTTGAGGTCCTCAAGAAGCCAGGCACAGAACTGTGTGAGTCTGATGCAGTGTGGTACAAAGCCAGCTCTGACTACTGCCACATACATTTGTTTCTTGTTTGGGGATCTGGCTGATGGACTTGCAGCTGGCTGGCTACCCCAGATATGATGGCACTAAATCACCATGTGCTGCGTGGGAAGTCACATAGGGTCATAATTCTAGGGATTTTAGGTAAACTGCCACATTCATAGCCCAGGGGAATAGAGATGCTCTAAGTGATTTTTAAACTCTTTGAGTAGCAACTCCTACTAAGATACGCATTGTGGCTCATTTTGTGTGTGTGTGTGTGTGTGTGTGTGTGCATACATATATACACATGCATCTATACATATACATAATTATATGTATTTTTAAGACAAAAATTTCATGAAATCATGCTTACCCTTTTTACTTGAGTTGCACTGAAATATTTTCATTTCCATTTTTAAAATGTTATTTATAGCTACTAAATTAATTTTGTAGCCCACAGATTGAAAAACACTGGTCTAAGTGGTCTGCCCATATCTAGGAGTAGGTAACTATCACATCACTTTAAACAGGGACAAATGCATGAAACGGTGCCATATTTTGACCTACCAGTTGACACAGAGTGACATCATGAATCCTGTGGTTCCTTTGGTACACACAGTTTGCTACAGATATGCCCTTTCTCTAAACGGCACTTGCTGAGGTCACTGCCAATACTTCTTTATTATATCCAAAATCATAAGGAAACCAATTGTTGCTAAATGGATAAATATGTTTTCCTCCTTGACATCGAATTTACATGAAATGTCAATAGTAATTTACCTTACAGAAATCTGAACATAAATCAGCACACATATTTTTAAACTGTATCATTAGGTGTTGTCTCTATAATTTGTTTATATTGTTGCACATCTTTTTATAAAAATACTTATTTCAAAAAAATATATATATATATACTTATTTCAAGAATTTATATGTTGTTTGAAATGATTTTAAGTAAGGTATTCCCATACTACCTACTTTCTGAGGCAGTAGTTCTTAAAATTTGGAGGTCAAGACCTATTTGAAATTCTGATGAGATCTATGGACTATCTCCATAGAATGAATAAAATTTTTATTCCTTAGACCCTCATTTGAGAACCCTAACCTGAGTAGAAGTCACTCTTCATGTCTTCTCTCTAGAGCTTCATCAGCATCTCTTATAACTTCCCTGACTGGAAGGAAGCACTGTGCCCCATTCTACTGATATCTAAACCAGCAGCTCCTTATTTGATTCTACCAGTGCCCCTTTTACATGTACTAAATTCAACACTGATATCTACTGAATTGGGACAAGAGCCAATCTAGGAAGCCACCCCATTGGTCCTATGTTTGTCAACATATCAGCCTCTGGGGATTGCAGGACCAGCTGCTGTAGGGTAGCAGTTAAGTACAGCTACAGACAGTCTCCCAAAAGTGTTTGAAACTGTTTCCAAAGTCACCACATCCTGGGCAGAACATATCATAATCTCTCCTTTTAAAAATATTTTCATTAAAATATTCAACAGATTGTACCAAATATTGTAATTTTTGGCAAATATCATATAGAACATTCAACCCTGAGCAGAAAACCCATGAGAATCTTAAGCCAATTGAGTGCAATGATCCACATGAGTAGAGCACCACTGCCACCTTTTGGTGACATAGCTTAATTACAGGTTCAAGGTTTTGGGATAATAAACCTATATTAAACATACAGATTAGAATATTAAAGTCATAAAATGATAGAAAATACGTATTCCTCAATATGCTGGAACAGAGAGAGCATGTGTCATTAGAGTTTGCTTTTGTTCTACTCTTTGCCTCTCATGGGTGTACGGGTCCTGATTTCATGTATTCTCTATAACTCTTGGCAGGATTGGAGGAGCCATTCCCACTGTGTTCTCCTACTTTGCTGAAGTGCTGGCCCGAGAGAAGCGGGGTGAGCATCTGAGCTGGCTCTGCATGTTCTGGATGATCGGTGGCATCTATGCCTCTGCCATGGCCTGGGCCATCATCCCACACTATGGTAAGAAGCTGGCCTTGCCCCAGCAGGGCAGTCACCTTGTTTTACTTCAGCCTCCATTTCTTCCCTTTGCTCTCTTATAAATGCTGATTGGTAACAACACTGTCTTCATCATGTTTCTCCCCTTTGTAATGTCTAAGATTTTCTTCCCTCTCTACCAAGCTCTATATAAGGTAAGACTGTGCCAGTGGTCCTTGAGGAATGCTATTGTGTTTTTAAAGCCATCACTTTAATTTATTTCCTATGTGCTATCAACTCTGGGGTCTCCACCCAAGTGGACATGCAAGGATCCACAGGTTATAACCAGCATTTAAGTCAACATGAGTTACAGTTGTTCTTGGGACTGTCAGACAATCAGGTACACACAAGTCTTCCCCTCTGGGCCCAGACAAACTCAACTCCATGTTAGCCCACCTCTTCTGGTTGCTCAGAACGGAGGTGGGGGTAGAAAGAATCCTGGCTTGTCATGGATCGTCAACTTGCAGAACTTAGGAGGTGACCTCCTGTGCTTGCTCCCCAGGTCCCCTCCTCAGTTACTCCTGAGTACTGACTGTTTATGCCACCTCTGAGTACTCAGTCGCATCGTTTCTGAGCAGCACGCTCCTACTTAGAAGCTAGAAGCTCCCAGTTGCTTCACCTACAAACAGGGAAAGGTTAACAGAATCCAGGAATCAAATTCAATATATAAGGAAAGGGGAAAAGAGGTGTTCTGGTTACATTTGTGTGTGTGTGTGTGTGTGTGTGTGTGTGTGTGTGTGTGTGTGCACGCGTGCGTGCGTGCAGACAAGAAGTTCACAAAATATGAATACTGTGTAAATTAAAACCACATGTGACTTCAAAAATTCACCCTTTGTTTTATCTAAAATCTGATCAGTCTAAAAAATTAGATTTAAACATTTCACTCTATGCTTATTTTATATTTTTCTGCTTTTGTTTTAGAACAGAGCATTTTTTTCATTATAAAGCATAATTCTGTTAGGGAATAACCTTAAGTGAATTTGATTCCTCGCTAAAATCAATGCCAAGATGTAGACCTTAGTGTTCAGACACATTGTAATTTGTTTACCATACTGAGTTACAAAGTTCATGTCGTCACCCTCTTTTAATAAACCTAAAAAGTTACATGCAAACCAAAATTGTATATAATAACAACAAACCATAAGGAATTGGTTACTTGGCTAGAAGAGAACTTTTCTTTGCCAAGTTGAGTGTGGAGTGCTAAGCTTCAGTGATGGGTTTTCCTTGTTTAGACTCTAATCACTTTTGGGCCAGAGAGGCCCTCCTATAGGCAGTGACCCATATCCACTATTAGGCTTATCTTCTGCCACCATCTAAGGAATTAAAGGAAATTCTCCTCTTTCATCTGGGAGCTGATAGACCTCAGCCACCCTCAGAAGCTTTCTCTTTAGGGCAGCCCCACTCAGCTAGCTGTTCCAAATGGAAAAAACCAATTGGCTGCCACATAAGAACTGCCTCTTAGGAACTCTGCATAAAGAGACAGAAAGGAGATGCAGAGTCTGTGCAGAGTCCACTTTACCCAGAACCACCACTAGCCCAAAGGCCGCCTTTGTGCAAATTAAAATAAGGCACCTCGTCTGGGTGGACATGATTGCAGCCCACTGACCACAGCTGCCGGATGCTTGTGCAGGACACAGCCTGACAGCTTTACTCAGCAGTGGGATCCTTATGAGGCCAGCCTTCATGAATGCCTCAGCCTCTGAAGACAGCACAGCTCCATGGCTCCTGAGTTTATTGCAGTTCCTTGCCTGGCCCCCCTTTCCCATTATATCTCAGAATTTCTCTTGCCGGTGTCTAATTGGGTTCTGCAGTCTGCACGTTCCCACCAGGGTGGCCAAAGTAACTTTTGATTTGGTTTTTGTTTTTCCTCACTAGGTATTTAGTTCCCCAGACTCCTGTCTTTTACATATCCCTGCCCTCAAACTTTGGAGGGCTCCAGATTTTGTCTGTGGCCATGCCGTCAGTCAGTAGCTGACCTACAAAAATTTAGCATGACCTCTACCTTTACTTTTCTCCAGCACACATAAAATATTCTTGTTTATAGCAGCAAAAAGGGCTGTCTAATCCATATATAACTGGAAAGAGGAGAGCTATGTGAATCATAGACAATGTGGGAAAACTTACAAAAAAACAATCATAATACAACAAAGTTCTATGTATCTGAGGCTGACATTAATTTCTGTGTTGAAGGAACCTTGAGAAATAATGACCTGGTTAAGAAATCAATAACAGAATATTAAAACTGTATGCCCATGCTCTACTGAAGGCTTTTCATGGTTTGAGGTGTGGCAAAAAACCCCAGCAAATTATTGCATTCAATCCTGTCTGTATACTAGAATCAACAGGGGAGATTTTTTAAATACCCTTGCCTAATTTGTTGTTACACTCTTGCAACTTGAAGAATTTTAATTTTTTTCAAAATAAGAGGTTAATGTTAAAAATCTTGTGCTAAAGTTTTTGGGGGTTGATGATGTTCTGTATCTTGATGTGAGAGGTGGTGTTTCAGGGATATTCATTTATAAAAATCCTTTAAGCTGGTGCTTAAGATTAGCATGTGTCATTATACGAATATTACACTTTCTTCATAAGCACTTTTGATATGTTATTACTTCTCCCACCCCTTGAAAATACCCACGCTTGGGTCCTACTCCAGATCAGTGGCATCAGGTTCTCTGGCCTGAGGACTTGGCGTCAGTAGGTGTAAAAGCCCCAGGTGGTGCTCGTGTGCAGCCTGGTTTGTGATTTTTCTGGCCCCATACCTCTGCCAGGGGTGGTCTCGGCAGCTTGGGATGTCCCCCTGTACAAACAGGGAAGGCTGTGGATGTGAGCAAAGACGAGAGCAAGCCTGACCTGCTTGGTGATTTACTCAGTTGGTGTTTGAGTTGCACCACTATGGGTTCATCCAGGCTAAAAGGCTTTCCTGATCATCTGGTTTAGAAACACACCTGAAATGTAACTTTGACATCTCGATACCTCTTCTTTTCAATGACGTATCTTTTTACTTTACTTAAAATAGACAAGGGGCTTAAAGTCTACCTCTTTCCCTGCAGCCTGTGAAAAAATGAAAAGCTTTCTCTTTTCCGACTGAAATTCTGTATTATGTAAATGTGCTGCCACCCCTAGAAACAGTGAGAGTGTGTGGGTCCCTGCCCTTCCATCCCTTCCATTTAGGAAACCTCTGGGTGTCAACACCACATACAGTCTGTTGAGTTTTTATCCAGCAGGGGAGGAATTCGGGAGCATACTAGGGCGACTCAGAGCCAGGTGCTAGCCTTTCTCACATCAGCACCAGGACTGGCTCTGGAGGGAAGGAATCAATAAGCAGCATCCACACTGCAGCTAATTCAAGTGATAAATGACCCACATGGTCATGGGGGAAGAAGGTGTTTCTGGTGTCACTTTTCTGCATTTGTATCACAAAGCCCAGAGCCTGATGCCATGAGACTTGAATTCTGACTCTGGACAAGCTTCTTATGCAAACTAGGCCTTAAGCTGCTCACTAAGGATGCTGGAAGGAAATTTGGAAGGATTCTTAGGAAGTTAGACAACACCAGAAAGGGCGTTTGGATTGTTGCAAGGCTGATGAGTTAAGACATGGCTGTGGCCAGGAGTTCCTGATAGACGGTGGGATCCACCTGGCCTATGAGGCCTAGTTTCTGTACCAGCATTGGGTGATGTTGCTCTGCCTTCACATCGCTGCTCTTAGGGCTGAAGATTTCCCTAGGGACAGACCGTCACCAACATCTGAAGGTCCCCAGGATAAAATTACCTCACCCACTCTGATGAGGTCGGGGCCTTGGGAAGAACATGGATGTCATCTCTCCAGGCACCTTTCCACCAGCCCCCTCCCCTGTGGCCTCCTCCATCAGCCCAGGTGCTTCTGGGCTCTCTGCTGCTCCCCCAGGCCTTGGCAAAGTCCCCATAGTGCCACAGAGGATGGGAGAACAACCAGCCAGAAGGAAAAGCTTATGCCTCAGAATCAGGTGCCTGCAATAGCTGAAAGCAGGTGTTTCGAAAGTGTGGCTCTTCTCAACCCCACACCTACTCTCAGGCCTGCGACTTCTGCCCCACAGTGGGACTTGGCTGCCAGATGACAGAAGAGCAAGCCGTGTGTGCCAGAACAGACAACCCCGTGAAGGCTGTGCTGCAGGCCTTCTCCTCTCCCCACCCCCATAACCAGGGCACCTCAGCATTTAAGGGAAGCCAAAATGCCTTCAGGGGAAAGTGGGGCAGGAGTCACAGGCACTTTCTCCCCTTGGCCAAGAGCTCCCATTTGGGTGCCCGCGTGGCTTCAGCGTGGCTTCCAGACTGCTGCGAAGTCAGTGCCATTAAACCCTCTGTCATCATTTTCTCTTTTAAATTTGTGTGTGCCTCAGATGAGGTGCTGTCTCCTGCTGAGGTGCGTGACACGAGGGCGTGCAGAAAGGACGTTCAGTTTGCTAAGAGGGAAGATTCTGTGTTCTGCATGAAATGCTGCAACTCTTGAAGCCCATGGCCCCCGGGGCAGCACTCAGCTACGGCAGCACTAGCACTTCCATCTGGACCCCCTTTCACTGTGGCTCATTGTGCCAAGCTGGGCGCCCATAAAGCCGGAAACGGCCCCATCCCTCCCCCTCCAGCCACAGTGAGATGACTGGGCTTTAAAATGCAGGATTCCCCAAGGTTTTCCCATTACCAAGATGTCTCTACTTCCTTGAGTTACAAGATGTGTGAAGCTGATAGATTTCTTCTCCCTAATGGTGCAGCTAGGTGAGGGGAGTGAGGGGGAGTCAAGTAGCTGTCTGGCTGAAGAAGGGAACAGGGAGGGATGTGTGTGAGGCACTAGGCCAAGGGAAAGGGCTGAGGGGCGAGAGCTCACCTTGGGCTCAGCCCCACTGCTTCTGCCGGGTGAGCTCTCTCAGACTTTCAGTCTCCCGGCCCCAGCTCCAAGTGGCATTGTTCGGGGGGATTGGGGTAGCGATCCTGTTAGAATGCCCAGGCATGAC